TCCTTTTATCATAACGTCTAAGATTCTTTCCGAAAAATAGAATAAGTTCAGCCTCCCCAAACCTTCATTATTCAAATTTAGGGGAGGCTTGAGCCTCCCGAAGCCTAATGGTTCCGCCGCCTATGAAGACATATGTGTAAAACAGTTATGAGACCTGATGATCCATTTCATAAAGACATCTATAACTCAGTTAATACACAAGTTGCTGAATAAATCTTTGCCTATATGTCAAAATTCAAAAACTCATTTAGAGGATATAATTATCCTAAGTCCACGATTTTTTTTACAATTTTATTCCACCTGAAAAATTGTATGACAACCGGTATAAGTTCATTTGAACAAGCAGTATGACAATTTCTTCAATCTACGCTTCGTTATTTTATTTAGTTTTTCTTGAGATCGTTTTTTATCATATGCGTTTTATATAGTTCTAGTCGTTTTGAATTTCTCTATAAACATACTATTCAAATGACTGCACATATAAACATTTTGCCAAAGAACTTGTGTGTTATTTAAAATTTATCGAATCAGAGAAGGATGATAGTAAATATCTGATATCTGGTCATCTAGTTCGTTTAGCGGTATATATGACTAAATATCTGATATCTGATATTGTGAATCAATTTGAGAAGAATGGTGTTTCTTTTCCTATAACATCAGAAATTTTCCAACATCTCAACATTACTAAATAGTTAATTAGAATTTCAAGTTTTGAAAATTTTAACAGTTTGACATTTTGAAAATTTCGACACTCAGTTCTTCAAACTGGTAACAGTTTGAGATTTGCCACTCCATGTTTTTTCATGATATCTGAGGGGGACCCCAGGCACAAAAATTGTCAATGTTGATTTTCGGGAAATAAAGTTGAAAAACGTGATCAGGGAGGATCCCACTCTCCACAAGTCAAAAAACGCTCACGCTCATGAGCGTGAGCGGTACACCCCTAGTTGGTAGTATTAAATTGTGTTGCTTATTTCAAGGACTCGACATTCATCGTTTCTCTTTCTTTTTTTTTATCTACAGAAGTAGGCACGAGATGCAGCACGTTTTTTTTTATTCTTCCTGTGTGACAAAAGAAGAAAAAGAAAAATATTTTTTTTTTCCTACACCAAACATTAGTACACAGCGAGTTCTATAACTACCATCTCTCTCGTTTGACTATTACAAGGCTAAAGAATAAGAAAGGATAGATTTAAACTTGGTAACCCGAAGTAAATCTACGTTTTGATCAGTAAATTTAGGTTATTTGAAATTTATCAATGAGTGAAAATGATTCAACTGAAGGTGTTCATGGTCTTATTCGACGCACAGCAGATTTAGGAAAATTGATTTTGGCTGCAAGTAAGTCTACGATTATGATGCACCCGATGTGTGTTCTCTCATTCTCAAACATAAAAATTGAAATAAAAACATCTGTTAAATTCAGTTTCAGTTTATTTTTTTGAAAATTTAATTTAATCAAATTTTTGATTTTCAAATTTCAAAAAAAAAATACTGACAAAAATTTTAATAGAAATTAACACTTCAGTTATGTTTTTAAAATTGCTGAAATTTATAGAGTTTGTCAGACATAATTTTTACTATGAATGTCATCAGCAGTTTTTGACGCTAAACAGACCATATAATTATAATTGGAAAATGGAATTGAACATTGAAAGAAAATAGAGCTGATTGCGATGCACTAGTCTTTATATACAAAATCCAAATATATAGAGAAAGCGATGTTATGAAAAAGATGGTATAGAATTAATGAGTATCTTTTCTTGAAGAATACAACTCGATTCACCCATATCGTATTCGGAACAAATATGAAGTTATATCATAAGAGATTATAACGTCTCTTTCAAAATTCGTTTTCTATTTTAATAAATTCCTTCTTAGTTCAGCGCAAATCGATGATAATTGCAGCACGCCTAGTAAAAAAAAACAGTTTTTTATTGAAATCCTTTGAAACAATTAACTTTCAATGTTCGTTCTCCGTTATCAAATTTATAAAAAAAAACGAAATTTTAAGAAGTTTCGTAGTTTAGTTAGAACAGAATTATATGAATACAGTCAAATATCTCAACCAATGAGAATAACATTCAAATAATATGTTGTTCTTTCTTTAGACAATATAAGTCAAAAACATATGGAATATTTACCATATCCAGATTGGAATTTCAATGAAGAACCTGAAGAATTTCTTCAAAAAACTTCTGCTGATAAAAATGGTTTGAATATTATTCTTTTGTTTTTTCATAGATTAATCTATTTCAAAAAATAGATGAACAATATCCATTAGAACAGATCTACTTACGATGTAATAAAACATTTCTGTGCGGTCAATCAGTTCAAGTTATTAAAATTGAAGCAACAAGAATATATCATGGAGTAATAGAATTCTTCTATCCTTATCTGTATGTTTCTTTTGTTGACATTATAGAGTATATATGACGCTAATATTTTGTTAATATAGATATGCAATAACTATTCGTTATGGTTCAAAGTTTGAATGGACAATTAAAAAACGTTATAAAGACTTTGATAATCTTCATCAAGTTCTTCGAACTTATGTGACATCAGAATTAGTAAAATCTCGAAATAATTTAAACAGGTATGAACAATAAATCGATTTTGTTCAATAAAAAAAAAATGATCATAAACTTATGAAAATGTTTTATATTCTAAATTTTAGTGTACGACCATCTACAACAACTGATGATCATGATTCTTCTATTGAAAGACAAGAGAAACAACTACCATGTTTTCCAACTCGAAATGATCGTATGGCATTCATTAATGAATCTTCTATAAATGAACGATGTGTAAATATTTTTCTTGTTCTTATTATATTCTATGAATTTTCTTTTTTCTTTTATGTTAGAAAATCTTACAAAATTATCTCAATAATGTACTTAAACATCCAAAATTTCGTGAACATAGTGCAATGGTAATATTTAAAATATTGATTTCGTTAAATTATTATTAGTTGTTTTTTTTTTTGATTAATAGAGAAAGTTTCTTGAAGTGAGTCCACTTTCATTTGTACAAGGATTAGGAAAGAGTTTACGAGAAGCTGAACTTTTCAAACGATCTAATGATGATTATCGTGGTCGATCAATCTTTGTTCGATTATTTTTTTTATGTGATACATGTAAATTTCATCGTACTCGAAAATGGTTTGTTATTAAAGATTCTTATATTGTATATATGAAACTTGCTTCGGCTCTTGTTGGATTTCCAATGCTTGTTGATCAGGAATTTTCTCTTGATCGACGTTTTCGAAAAACAAAAACAACTCATGGAATTCGAATAAAAAATTCACAACGCTTAATGGTTATTAAATGTCAAAATAGATATGAACAAGATAAATGGTTCAATACATTAATGGAAATTAAAAATAAATCACTTTTTACTCAACAAAATCCATTTAAATCATTTGCACCACAAAGAAAACAACAATATGCACAATGGTTTGTTGATTAAATATTCTTTTTTTTTCATAGAAGAAAAAGAAAAGTGTCATTCGAATATATATGTATAAGTTATATTCTCATTATTTTCACAATTAATAGGTTTGTCAATGGTCAACCGTATATGGAAGCATTAGCTAAAGCAATATTAGCAGCGCGTGAAGAAATATTTATTAGTGATTGGTGGCTTTCACCAGAAATAATGCTTATTCGTCCATATCAGGATGATTCAATGCGACTTGATAATCTTCTCGGCAAACGAGCTGTACGTTTGTAATAGTTTTTTTTCGAGAACATCTCTTCTTTTATAACCAATAGGAAAATAGGAAGAAGGTATTCGTATTTATATATTGGTATTCAAAGATTTAATACCAATTGTTGGTTTAAATAGTTATCATACAAAAAAGAAATTAGTTAGCAAAAGTCCAAACAAGAAAAATATTAAAGTAGATTTTTTATTCTTTGTTTTTCTTATTGTTTGAATTCTTTGAAATTAAAGATTATTCGACATCCTGATCATCGAGTTTTACCTGGAACAGAATCATCATTTCTCTATTCACATCATGAAAAAACTGTTGTTATTGACCAACGATTAGCTTTTATTGGAGGTCTTGATCTTTGTTGGGGTCGATGGGATACCGATGATCATCGGTGAGTTATCTTATAATGAAAAGTTCCGAGTCTTTGAGTATTTTCATGTATTTTATTGTGTTTTTCTTCTTTGTACAAATAGATTGGTGGATTTGAGTAATGAAAATATTACAAAATTGAAATCTGCCGAAGAATTAGCAAATCAAAGTGATCAAGAATCAAACAAAGAAGAAGCTGCTGTAGATACAATTAAGGAAATGGCAGAAAATAGTACCCATCAGGGCATAGTAAGAATATAGTAGATTCATCTTTTTCTCTGTCAACTGAATGGGTTATAGTAGATAAAGATTTTCTTTTTTAATCTGATATCATGATTTGAATATAATTTATTTAATGACATTTTTTGATAAAGATATCTACGTCTTTGAACCGAATGATGAATTCCGAACAAGAATCTTCTCATAAAACAAAAGCAAATGATACTACAAGTATGTACGACAATTGTATTCTAAACAAATAATTTTTATTTTCCATTAAAATAGATACTGGTAGAAAATTCTCAAGTAAGTTTGTATTCAATAAATCATTCTGAAAAATATCCGATTTGATCTTAATGAGAACAGCTCATTGGCGAACTAATAGAAAAGTTAACCATGAAAATACAACCGATCCAACCAGTAATAGTATTTCTTCATAATTTTCAAATAGTTGTCTTCTTTTTCTTCTTTAACTGAATAGGAGTAACAAATATTGAAGATTATTTGAATAGGGCTGAAAAGAAATTTCTAGCTGAAGAAAATAAATCCGTACATCGACCTGATCCATATGGAAATAGATGGCGACGATTCGTCGAAGTAATTTTCGTTGACGAGTTTTATAAAACTTTTTTCTGTGTGAATGATAGATGATGAAGAATAAGAAGAACAGTGATGATTCATCGGACGAAGAAGAGGCCTCTGACAATGACTCACCAGATTCGAAACCCAAAACAATCATTGGTGTCACATCTGTGGTTGATGATACATATCAGTTCTTTCTGGGCAAAGATTATTCGAATTATTATCAAAAAGATTTTGAATCCATTGAAAAATTTGATGAAGGTTTTTAATTTTTTACTCGTTTCTAAGAAAATATAGGACTTATTAATATATAGACTATATTGATCGAAAACATGTACCACGAATGCCATGGCATGATGAAATATTAGTTGTCTCAGGTGAAGCAGCACGAGATTGTGCGAGACATTTTATTCAACGATGGAATATTCATAAGGTCATTTTCTTATTTATTTTTTATTAAATATTCTATGAAGAGATCTTAACTCATCTAAATACAATCTAGTACTAAGAAAAATAAAATAATTACCTATTTGGATAATTATTTAGGCAGATAAACATCGTTATAATGAATCTTATCCTTATCTTCTTCCAAAAACATATGATGATCATGAACTAGTTGATACAAATTTTCTTCGTTCAATTCTTCCTGATGATCGACCACCGATTCGTATTGATGCTCAATGTGTTCGTTCTGCATCATTTTGGTCATGTGGAATTAGCACGGTCGAACAATCCATTGAAAATGCCTACATTCATATGATCGAAAATGCTCAACATTTTATTTATATTGAAGTAAGTTCTTTTTCTAGTATAGTTATTTTCTTCGTTTGAAATTCTCAATATTTAATTGAATAACAAAAAAAAAAAATAGAATCAATTTTTTGTCACAATTGCTGAGGATTCAACAATTAAAAATCATATTGGCGACGCACTTTATCAACGTATAATACGAGCACATTCTAATAAAGAAATATTTCGAATATATATTGTATTACCGTTATTACCTGGTTTTGCTAATGCTAATACTATTCAAGCTGTACTTTATTTTATTATGAGATCGATTAATAAAGGTGAAATGTCACTCTATCAAAGATTAAAACAGAATGGTAAGTATATTAATCATATTTAATAAATCATAAGTAAATAATTGATAAGAAAATAGGTGTATCTAATCCTGAAGATTATATAACATTTTATGGTATGCGAAATTGGGATATATTAATGGGTAGTTTAGTAAGTTCTATTTAGTATTTAAATTCGATGGAAGAATATTTTTTTTTTTTTAGGTAACAGAAATAATCTATGTTCATTCGAAATTAATGATTGTTGATGATCGAATGTGTATTTGTGGATCAGCTAATATTAACGATCGTTCACTTAAAGGTTCTCGAGATTCGGAAATTTGTTTAGTTGTTAATGATATTGAAATGATCGATTCGTATCTAAATGGACATAAAGAAAAAGTTGGACTTTTCTGTTCTACATGGCGAAAGAAATTATTCAGGTGTTTTGTTTTTATTTTAAATTTCTTTTTTCTTTGTTTAATTAAGTATTTTATTTATTTTTCAAGATTATTATTAGGTATAAAAAATGAAGATGAGATGAATGTTGATGATCCATGTTCAGATGAATTTTATCAATGCTTTCGTCGAATAGCACAACAAAATACTCAAATTTATGAAGAAGTATTTAATTCATTACCTACCAATCAGATACGACGATTTGCTGATGTTGAGGCTTATGAAAAACGACCGAAATTAAAAGAAACTGATCCTCAAACAGTACAGCTATGTTTTATTTCATAAATTCATTTATTTCTATTTTCTTTTGTTTTTTTCTATAGGCTCATGATAAATGTAAAAAAATTCAAGGTTTCATTGTAGAATTTCCTATTGAATATCTAGCCGATGATGTTATTATGCCAAAATGGAATACATCAGAAGGTTGTTTTTTTCTCCTATAGTTTAATCATACCATGATATACTTTTTGTCTCTATGAGAAGAATCTATTTTATTTTACAGGTATTGCACCGATTCTCTTATGGACTTAAGTCAACATACCAATTCAATAGTAAAACCTGCTTTCATATTTTGATTTTCTTTGTATTTATATTTTCTTGAACGAAGGTTTTTTTTTTTGTTAACTGTGAAACAAAGTTCTCATTTCCATGCAGATTAAAAAACATATTCGACGTTCAACAAAGAACTAATCAATGCAAAAATGCAATTGTCTTTCTCACAGAGTCAGTATATCAAACAGAAATGATTATAATCAACACTTAGTTTTTTATCTAAAGATGTGGAAAGAAAATACATCTAGGTTGAAAATATTCAGTTGAGTGCCGACATCGGACTTGGACAATTAGTCAATGAATCGAGATTCTTTCTGTAGCAAATAGAATAACTCATCATCAAAGAAAGTTCATGAAGACTATGGATATATCATAATTCGAATGAAACATTCGTTTATAGAAATTTATTTAATCTACTTAGAGTTTGGAAAGAAGATCAGTACTTGTATTACTGCTCATTCCAAAAGAAGGCGGGTGGGTATTTTTTCAATAACTTTTGATAGAAACAAGATAGAGAGCTGCGGTTTTCACCATTGGAAAGAGCAGATGAAAACACATTGAACCATATAGAACGATGTCTTTTAATTCGGATTTTTGAAACTTTTTTCAATAGTTAAACAAAGAAATGTCTTAAAAACAGGTCTGATTTTTCCAGAAAAAACGAAAAAAACTCAAAAAGCTAATTTTTTTTACAGAAATTGCTGGCAATTGGACTAAAACTGTCGAATATAGTACCTAGAATTCCCAAATTAGTAAGGCTTTGAATCAAACGTTATATATAGTTTTGTAGCTCTTGAGCTGGCGATTCTAGCGCACTCCTCAAAGTTTCAGATTTGTTCTACTTTCATAGAGCAATAGTCTGTTCTTTCAAAATGACAATGGATCACTACCTTTTTTTGAGATATACCTTAATAATTTTATATGAATCGATGCGCTGAATCAGCCTTTGTCCAACGATGAAAACCGCAGCTCTCTATCTTGTTACTATCAAAATTTATTCAAAAAATACCTACCCGCCTTCTTTTTTGGAATGGACAGTAGTTTATTTATTGATTTATATAGTAGTAGAAATATTTATTCTATCAGTAAAATTCATATTTCTTTGTTTATAATCAAAAGTTGAATTAAAGATTAGCGTATGAAGATTCTTAAGGATATATTATCAATACTTTATGAGTATTCCACTTTTTCAAATTAAGCCTAGAAGAAGGAGCATTGTTTATCAGTGAAAATTTGCAACCAATTTTGAAATCATTTAATTCTGCATTTTTTTTCGAAGCTTAACTGTTAATTAAATAATAAAATTTTTCATTTTATCAACTATTAAAAGAATATTTTTTTTATGATTCTTGTTGCAATATTACGCAAGAAAACAATCATATTCAAAGTTCATAAGTTCCATTTAATTCTTTGAAAGTAATTGTGCTTTTTTTAAAATTTATCTCACAATGAAATATTAAACTTTTTTCAAAGGTAAGATGTGCCAATTTTTCGATGTTTCTACTATCATAATTCAATTATGAATATCAAATCTCAATGAAAAGATTAAATTTCTTATTGATTAATTAAAAGAACATTTATTTACTTTCATCAGTTGTTTCATCTAAATCGTTTTAGTGTGAACTTTTTTTAGTAGTGAAAATTTTTGCTCAGTTGAATATAAATGCATTATGGTTCATTTTAGAATTCAGTTCTCAATTAAAGACGTTGAGATTTAACATTGAAAAGTACACCAAACAAGTTTATTGAAGCTTAATTCTCTTATTATCTCGCAAATCAAGTCATTTTTCTTCCAGGAGAAAATGTCAAAACATTTTCATTGCAATAAATAAAGAAATTCATAAAGGTTTTAGTTCAAAATTAATTAGAGAAAATTTTCCTTAGTACTTTTTGTCAATGTATTAATAAGCAAACTTTTCTTCTTCCATAATCAACATCTCTTTTTCTTTTCACAGAATTCTACTAATATTTGAAATATATCGCAAAATATAAGAAAAGAAAATCTTACATTTTTATATTAAAGAATGAGAATGTTGAATTCGTAGTCGAAATTAAAAATTAAACTTTTTAATTTGAAACTATCAAAAATTTAATTTTTTTTCTGGTTATTTGTGTAAAATATTCTGTCAAAAAGGAACATTTTAACTGTTGTAAGTCACATTTCAATCTAGTTTTTTGAAATTCTTGTTATAAATTTGAATTCCATAGAAAATTTGCCAACTTCATGGATGCTCATACTATTGATGTTCACCTCGACAACAGTTTATCTTTATATATTTTATAAATATTCTAATTTTTAATGCTGTTTAATTTTAAAAAGCTATCATATTGGTTTCTTGGAAGTAAAAATAAGATAAATAACTTTTTCATTTAAAGTAAAAATATTCATAGCATAAACAAAAAATATTAGCCATCTGCTCTTCGGAAGTTCTACCTATTTCAGAAATCTTCTTTTTTTTTTTTCTTCGAAAACGCTATGAAATGTAAAGCAATATTTTCTATTTCGAAACATATTCAATTTAAATTCTAACTTGATGATGTATTTTTGCATTTTCGATACTTTTTTTAAACATTATCAATGCATAGTCTAATAAACTTTTTTTTTGTATTTTACGGAAAAATTCATCATAGTCAATCGAGCTGATCAATTTTTGAGATTGATATTAAATTATTTTTTAAAGAGAAAGTTTTTTAACAATAGGATTTTCTGTTGGTAATCTTTCTTCAATAATTAGTCATCACTGGATTTTGAAAACACTAGTCAATCTTGAAATAAAAATGACTCAATTTAGATTGTTTTGACTCGTGAGCAATATTGAACATTCTTTAATACTCTCAAATAGGTCTTTTTTATTTTATTTTACATGATATAAATAAAAAAAAAAAGAACTTAGTCTCATAAGAATATTTTTTGTATTAAGTAATATTCACGCTAAATAATTTTGATTTCACTACAGTCGTAGGGATATACAAAATATTTATTCAATTAATATTATCTCACATATGACAGTGCGAACAAGTAAATGCTGAGAGTAAGCGAGAAACCTAAAAAGATACACGACAAACCAATTCTTTTCATCAAAGTAGAATATTCTCGTTGCAGAATGGAAGATTTTGCTATTGGCGAAATGCAATGAGAAGATATAATCTGCAACCATTTCAGTTTTGACACTTGACCTTTTATTTTGTTGTTTTTTTCCTTGTTTGTCTATCGATCAACCATTAAGTTCTATGACCCTTTTACCTATTGTTTGATAAACTGGAGCATAGAAATTTTCGATTTTTGTTGGTCAAAAAAAGAACTGCATAAAGATGACACAGAAAATAAATCTAATTTTCCTAACTTTGAAGAGTGTTAAGCCTCATTCGATTAAAAAGAACATTTTTCGAGATATCTGCAAGACTATTACTATATATGATAGATTTAAGTTTATATATCGAGAAAAGTGCTTCAGTTGAAAACGGTACAAACATGTTTAAAGTGCGCATAATCATATTGATTTTCTATGAAATTTTATTCTATCTCGTTAAGCTTCACGAAATCTGACAATTACATGCTCTGTTAGATTAGATCATAAATCAAATAAGATAAAGAAAATGATTAGATAATGTTGACGTATTAATCATGCATATACATTAGAAGTTTTTCACGCAGATACTCACTTATCTAAACCTTCAAAACAATCAATTAGGAGACAATGGAGCACAACATCTTGCGGAAGCACTAAAAACCAACAAACTATAATTTATTTATGTTTTGGCATATTTTGTGAAACCCAATCTGAAAAGTGTGCTAAAATACATAAGAATAAGAATTATGGATCCCTCTCCAGATCTCAGTAGACGTTTTTGATACATGATTAAAGAACATATAACACCAAGATTGTATCAGAATATATAAATTCTTTTCTTATTACAGTTGTTAAAGTTAAAATAAACGATGATGAATGAATATATTCGACAAGAAGTCAAATAGAAGAATTTTCAAGTAAATAGCAACAACCTGTTCATTATATATAACATTTCAATCTCATTGCGATTATACTAATAATTTTCTTTCTTTTGTTGATGTTTTCCTTTCTTTTATAGACACTTCAGTATTTAGATCTCTCTAGGAATAATAACATTTCTGCTGCTGTGAAAACTCGTTTGAATCAGCAAGACAAGCGAATGAATTTTTAGCTATTGATTGTTCCTTTCTTTTTGTTTGAATGAAATAAATCAACTGGATAGTTTTTTTTATCCAATCCTCTTGTATGTGTGCTTATATTAAGTCGGTACTCTAAAGATGAGAACATGTTGTGTGTGGATAGCTGTCAATTCAAGTCTCTTCATAGATGTAGAGTATGGGTTGGTGATTGAAGATAATGCTTACAATCACAAGCACATATATGCAACTTCTATTCATACACGCGCACTCAATGCATCCAAATTCAAGCTCACACACACATACCCATTATGGAAAATCGAATCAAAACTTAGTTTCGGAAGATTTCTAAGGCTTAGTTGTTTCACTTTCACTTTGTCTCGGTTGAAAAAATCTCATGAGTGTCCTAACTGTTGAAACTACATATAAAAGAAGTACAATAGGAGTTGACGATGCACTATTTTCAAGTCTACGTGACCGTGTTTTGAGGTTCTATTTCCATAACAATAAGACCCTATGATAATTTTTGATAAACTTGGCATAACTCGACCATATATTTCTAAAGCATAAGATTCGCTTACTTCATAAATATATAGTTGTAGTATCAGATTCAAAATGAAATGTACTAACTATCCCTATGCCACCAAAGACTTGTACCATCATAATATGGATTTTATCTCAAAATATGAAACAATTAAATTTTCAATTTCAAAACTTAGAAAAATGTTGATTGGTGAATCTGAC